TTGTTGAGTCCTCCCCAAACCCAACTCGTTCACATCACTCTCAGCAGCAGCCCTTGGATCCGAGTCCTTCGCAGACTACATTAGCCACTTCTCTGGATAGTAACCCAAGTGCTACATCTGGCCCATCAGAACCTGCTGCACCGGTCCGTACTCATGGCATGATTACACGAGCCATGAATAATATCTACCGACCCAAGCAGATATACCAAGTGTCTAAACATTCACTGCCACCTGCTCTTGAGCCCACTTGTGTATCATAGGCCATGAAGGATCCTCTTTGGCGCCAGGCTATGAGTGAGGAATTCACTTCCCTATTGAAACATGGAATTGGACCCTTGTCGAGAAACTTCCTCATCATAATCCCATTGGTTGCAAATGGGTGTATCGCATCAAGCGAAAACCAGATGGCAATATTGATCGTTATAAGGCCAGATTAGTGGCTAAAGGGTTCCACCAACGACCTGGCTTGGATTATAAAGAAACTTTTTCTCCTGTAGTCAAACCAGCTACAATCCGCGCGATACTTACTCTTGCTGTGTCTAGGGGTTGGCCTCTTCGTCAACTAGATGTCAACATTGCATTTTTCCATGGCACTTTGACTGAGGAAGTTTACATGGCACAACCAGCTGGTTTTGTTAACCTCAATGCACCTCATCATATATGCAAGCTTCATCGCTCTCTCTATGGACTCAAACAAGCCCCGCGGGCTTGGTATCATGCATTAAGTGATTGTCTCACAAAAATGGGGTTTTCTCAATCTAAAGCCGACCCCTCCTTATTTATATATCATATGGATGATCTAACTGCATATTTTCTCATTTATGTGGATGATCTCATTCTCACAGGAAATTCCAGCACTTTTATCCAGCAGGTTGTCACTTCTTTGGGCAAGGCCTTCTCTCTCAAAGGTCTTGGCCCATTAAGTTTCTTTTTGGGTGTTGAAGTTATCCCCACCACAGATGGTATATTTTCATCTCAGCATAAGTATATTAGGGAATTACTCTCTAAAACAGGCCTTGACAATGCGAAAGAGATTGTGACCCCAATGTCTACCTCTGATGTTCTCCGCCTGGATGATGGCACAACCTCTGTTGATTGCACGGAGTATCGTCGAATTATTGGTTCACTTCAATATCTATCTCTTACGAGACCTGACATTGCTTTCCCGATTTCTCGCCTTGCTCAATTTATGCATAGACCAACGGTGACACATTGGACAGCAGCTAAACGGTTATTGCGATACCTCAAAGCGACTCTTTATCATGGTCTACAGCTTCGCAAAACTAAAGGTCTTCATCTCACTGCATACTCTGATGCTGATTGGGCAGGCAATATGGATGACCGAACTTCCACTTCAGCCTACATCATTTATCTTGGCAACAATCCTATATCCTGGAGCACACGAAAACAGCGTGCTGTTGCGCGCTCCTCCACCGAAGCTGAATATCGTGCTCTTGCGACTACTGCTTCGGAAATAGCATGGCTTACTTCGCTCTTTCAAGAACTACAGGTGACTCTCCCTGCTATACCAAAATTATACTGTGACAATATTGGTGCCACTCAGCTCAGCTTAAATCCTATTCAACATTCCCGCATGAAGCATATTGCCATTGATATTCATTTTGTTCGGGACTATGTTAACAAAGGCCTGCTCAATGTATCTCATATATCTACCCGTGATCAACTTGCGGATCTCATGACGAAGGCTCTTTCAAAGACTCGCTTTCAAGAGCTTCGCACCAAGTTTTAACATGGTATCAGAGCTCATTAAGCTCCAACGAGCGATTCGATCCGATTAAGTCTCTAAAAATGAGCACACGGATTTCAAGATTGGTCTGCTCAAATGAGCCACCATCTTGCGGGGGCATGTTAAGGGAATATAATCCCACATCGGTAAAATATCGAAATAATGACCAATATATAAAGAATTGGGACACTCCTCTTAATAAGGTTGACCTTATTAAGATGGACCCCAAACTTTAACAATATCAACTTGTCAAAGATTTTATTTTAGCTTTTTTACTGGAATGTGTGGAGTGCTCAGTTTTTTCTTTCTTTTTTTGGAAACATTTTAGGGTAATTTTTTGGGTATGGTAATCGAACTCGGGTGACAGAGGATTTATGTTGCCAAATGCAAAATTTGTTGAGAATGAGGCTTAGTAGTTTGTTGTTGTCTTCCCTGCAGTCTTTTGTTGTTTGAGCTGGTGGGAATGTTCAGCTATCTCCAATCAGGAAATAGAGTGAAGTTGCTAAATTTTTTTTATACATTTCCCACGCAATTGTCTCATGTGCATCGCACTCAATTTGCTTCTTCATACTAAACTATCAATCCCCTTCATTTCATTAAATAACTAATCCTTAGGTTGTTCCTTGACAAGTCATTGAAGTTTCATCCTCACTGTTTAAGATTTCTCATTTTCTTGAGTATATTGCTTCAAATGCCAGCTTTGGTTATCCATGTTCTCTGTACTGATTTATATTTGTCGACCTAAACTAGAGTCAGTGTGTCACATAAGGGCAGATACAGGCAAACATGGAGATCAAACGAAGAACGGAACTGAGGAAACAACAGGGCCAGGTGGAAATGCGGTAAATGTCCCTCAAGAAAATCTGCATGATGATGGAATATCTTCTTCCAAAAGCACCATTATTAAACATGTCCTGGTTCAGGGAGAAAAAGTAAAGCACAGGGTCCAACGAAAGTATTGCTTTGTGCCAGGTTAATTCTTTTCACCTTGAAAGTCTTCATTCGATTCTTCACATGGCAGCGATGTGTTATGTCATGCACATTATTTTTCCAGCTATATCTTTTAGGTTAAGTGAATACAACACATAGACCAGCTCGACTGGTGTCCCTGTAGAATTTCCATTGAGTTATATGAAGTGAAATGCTTTTTTGTTAGACAGTCCCCATTTACATTCTATATATCGACTATGGCTTGGTGACCTTCCATTAGATAAGTAAGCTAAAGGTATGCTCTATTGGGTCGTAGAATTACTCTGATGACCATTATTCTGTTCCTTTGTGAAGGCTATATTGTTAAGATTGCTTCAAATATTACTGAATGAAGATTTTCACTAATAATAGCAGATGAAATTTCTGAGCTTCTTGTGTTTGCATCAACCAAACTTATAGCTTTGTTCACCTTCAATAATTACAGCAATTTATGGATTCGACCATCGCAGCCTTAAACTATTCGAGTTGTCTAATTATTTGGTTTCTTGAGTTTGATTTGACAATTTAGTATCCTCAATTTGTGCATATTAATTAGAAGATTGTAGTCGAATTATATGTTTTTCACTATTCATATCATAGTCGAATTAATAGGTTAATAGACTTAGAGTTTTTTGCATACATGTGCATAATATCGTTTTTGGAATTCTGGATATTTGTTTCTTACATGGTCCAGTAATATAGGAGAAATGCATGCTGGAAAGGAGTCAAGAAGGATCGTTGTGGAGTAAACGTCTAGCGAATACAAGGAAATGATCCCATGGTGCCTCTTGAGAGTCTGAGTTAGGAGGCAGTTGTATGCATTATCAGTCTATTTTTCTGTTTCTTTTTTTCTTTTTAGTAAAACTATTAGGCTACTTAAATGTGTTCTTCCTTCATTTGGTTAGATGGTGGTGCTATAGTCTCTGCTTCCCAAATTTCTGTATAAACTATGAAGTCTTAGCTCATATAATTTTCCTGGTAATAATTCATTTCAATTAGTCTCTGTGTTTGTTTTCCATTCTAGATTAAAACGTAATTGTTGTTGTTAGAAATTGACCCAAGATGAAAATAACAAATCACAAGAACATACTATTTACGCGGAAATTTAAGATGGAAAAAATTCACCGATAGGACAGATAATTCACTATATCAAAGTAAGGAATTATAATATATTATGATGGATCTCACAGGACACTCTCCTGATCTCTCTATCTGCGATTCTCTCTCTATTAAACTGGATCATCTGGATCACTCTTTGAGTCGATCAAATAAATATGTGTAGTACATCACATAGTTATAGTACAAGAATTTCTAATATATTAGGAGAATTAATACAACAAGAGTCTAATACAAAGTGAAGTCCTATTACAATATATAAAACTAATAACGGAGTATTTCAATGGTCCAAAATTGGTAAAATTGCAGACTCTGAAAATCCGGATGGCTTGTGCCTAGCAAGCGGCCAACACCTTGTTTGATGAGTGGCCAGCGAGCGATTGTGCAGCGCCTTCTTCGCTCCTTGTCCATCTTTCATCGTCATTGACTCATTGTAGTCTTCTACTTATTTAAGATATCTTCAAAACAAACAATCGACTCCAAGTATACCTCTAAAACAGAATTTGGGCCACAACACCTTGATACGAATTCTACAACAATGAACAAAGCTTCAAAAGTTCTCCACGAATTCCACTGCAAAAAATAAAACTTAATTCTTCCACTCCAACAAAATTCTCTAAATGAATACTCTACCAAATTGCTCCAAGTCTTCCACAAAACCCAACTAGGGCAAACTCAACAGCTGCCAATTGAATCCGTGCACTATCTGTCTACAGGATTACTTGGGGTACAAAATTTACTCGAATTATCATTAGGTGCAATAAGATCATCAAGATCACAACGTATTTTCCAGAGTTAGTAGCTGGTTATTCAATACCAAATTTACTTAAATTATCACCACGAGCAACTTGACCACAACCAACTTTATTTTATTCAATTATTATCAAACCATAAGTTACCAAATTAGCATCATCGAACCTCTCATGAAGTTTAATATCTCTTTACAGTTGCATCAAGCATGGTCATTGATCCTTTCAAAACATATAATTGAGATCATATTTGTCCACAATTTGATCCTTACATTGCTTCTTCTCCAGTTTTCAAATAAAAATCTACCAAAACGAAAATCTAATGGTCCGATCCAAAAGCAGAATTTCAAACTACTTACTTGACATCCTGAAATAATCAAACCTCATTTTGAGTTGATCAAACATCACTCTAATACGAAACCAAACTGGCTCTCCCAAGAACTGTCGATCTTTGGCTTTGATACCACTTGTTAGCAATCTAAGAGGTAGGTACATGCTTTGTACCACTTGTTAGAAATTGAGCCGATTATTATGAATATTAAAGATGAGATAATGGGCTTCGTGATATCTAAGGAGAGAGGGGAACACACTATAGCTGCAAGATGAAAATAACAATCACCAAAACACAATATTTATGTGGAAGCTCAAGACGATGAAAAATCACGGGCAGTGGTTGAGATTTCATTATATCAAAAGTAAGGAGTTACAATATGTTATGCGAGATATCACAAGACTCTCTTGATTTTCTATTTTCGAGTCTCTCTATTAACCTGGATTCCTTAGATCACTGTCTAAGTCAATCAAATAAAAATATGTAATCCACCACATATTTATAATACAAGAATTTTTAACATACTAGGAGAACTAATACAAATGAGAATCTAATGCAAGGTTAAGTCATATCACAATAGGTGAAATCAATAATGGAGTATTTAAGTTGAAATAGGAGTCCCAAATTGGCCAAATCGCAAAACAAATTCTAATAAAGCTACCGCTTGAGCGGTGCCACCGCCGCTCGTGTGGCTAGTTTGTGCCTAGCTAGCAGCTAACATCTTGTTTTGAGTGCTCGATCGCTTGATGAGTAGCTAGCCAGCGATTTTGTGACGACTTCTTCGCTCGGTCCATCATTTGTCTTCTTTGACTCCTTTTAGTCTTCTGCTTCTTCAAGACTCCTTCGAAACAATCAACCAACTCCAAATATACATCCAAAACGGAATTCGGGTCATACCAAATTTCTAACACTTGTGGTAAAATAATTCTTCATTTCTTGTTTTGATTTTAATTTTCATGTTCCATGGTTGTATATTTGTTAGTTTCTACATTCTTTTACATATTTTGTTAGTTGCATCGTTCATTTAGTTGTTTTCTACCATGTTTTCTTCATGTCTTCTGTATTCTTGGTTTGTATCGAGTAGTTTGCACTCATGGATTCAAACAAATGGGACAAGAATTTTACTGATTAAACATTACACAGCCCGCTTTCCATTTTCTTGCACATCACATTTGATTTCGGTTATACTTCTTAGGGCTTTTGCTCATTTTTTTCCTTTCGTTTCTTGGAATTATGCACTTGTAACGTACTATTATCGTTATAGAAGAACTCTGCTTATTCTATGCAAGAGCCGTTGGATCACTTGTTTTCAATTGGCATGTCTGATTATTCATTCTCCATATTAGCCAGCCTATTCTATTTAGATGCAGACAAGGAAAGGTCTTCTTCAGAATTTAATGAGATGCGGAAAGGTCTTCTCCAGCATTTAATGAGACGCATGTGCATTCCTTCACTTTTTCTCGACTGAAACAGCGTATCATGTGTACGTGTGGTTTTGGGTGTGACAGCCTGTGAAGTTTAATTTTTAATCATGCTATCAAATTTTAAAAGTGAGACTAATTTTATGTACTCTGTGAATGAAAGTTTCCATGCCGTCTCAAACTAGTAAGATGATGCTTTGGAGCTTGGACAAGGATTTCTTGCAATCTTTCACTGATAAATCGTCGATTGAACAAAGAAAAGAAACGGCTCTTATCCTTTGTTAAATTTGTGAATCTAGATAGTTTTACCATACAGTAAAGATACTTGGTCAGGGTTAGTGACAAGAGAGAGATGACAAGCGTCTATATGTCAACGTCTATTTGAGTATTTATTTTTATTTTTATTTTTATTTTTATTTTTTATCACCTTGTCACCAAACTCTGTCATCAGACCTGTTTATGTAACATAACTATTTACTATGTCGTGTGAGTATCTGTTTATGTATCATCTATCACTAGATGCGAAATAAAAAATGAAGAAATCTTGAGATCGAGAAATAAACAAAATATGCAAAAATGCTTGCGAGCTGAAAATGATTGCTGGGACGAGAATTTATGAAACACACGTGCGTGCAGGACTTTCAGATTCATTGCATTCTTGTTGGGGGGGCTATTTTCACTCACAAGTCTCCATCTAAGGTTAGGCGACCTGAGCTAACGTATAAGTACGTATGGTCCCTATTTGAGCTTCATTATCTATATCTTCATTTTATTTTTTTTTAAAATGTATTTTCAATCGCATATTTTTTCAATAAATAATTTTGTACATAAACTCAATTTTTTTGTCCTTTTTAACCATACATTCTTCAAAAATTTACTATTATAAAATTTATTTTCTTAGAGCAATAATGCATGACTAATTCCCTGTACTCATAGGGTCTTCACAGGCCCTCTGGGGCCCCATGTGATTTTGTTTTTTTATATTTTTTTCCCCAAAAATGAACCACCCATGTGATCTGTACCGACCCTGTGAAGTACCACCCTGTACACAACGCAGCTCATAATGCATTTATGTCATGCCAATATTGAACTTGATATGAAACAAATTCAGTTTCTCACCAAAATGGCTCGCTCTTTCCTTGTTAATAGAAAAATAATTTAACCTAGAATAAAGTTAGTATGCCAGACAAGTTTTCCCCACTTAGGTGACCGACCCTCACATTAGAATGGGACCCCTGTCGACCTTATGTGAATAAAAAAATGTAAAAAATAGCATCCCACCCATGTTAAAAATCGCTTCTTTTTTTCGGTTCGAAACAACTTGGGCGAAATAGGGTTCTACCGGGACCAACTATGAATGTAAGTGAGTTGGGATATTAACCTATTGAATTTTTCTTTATTGGATCAACTTGAATAACACGTCACACAAAATCACTCATGTATAGATGTCTGACTACCTAATCATCTTCGTAAAGAGTGATGGTATTCAACATTGACAGAGTAGATTCTTCCACATTGATTACACGAAATCTTAATATTGTTTGTTTGAATTACCCATCACCTAGTCAAAGGTGATTTGATTTGATGGACGATTAGGGGCACGGATTTTCCATATACTAGCTTCCCGTGAGTGTGACAATATCTAGCTAACAAAAAGGTCAAAGAATTAGAGCTGAATTCATGTAGTCCGGACAATAATTTCAACATCTTATTTTGTTTTTGGGACATGTGATATGATTCTTTTACACAAGAAGCAAATAATGAAGTTTACAAACAATATTCGATAAAGGTTTTTGCTAAATTATTAAATTTCCATTAAAATTATCATGTTCAAACTTGAATCTGAATTTTTATTCAAAGAACATCTACTTCAATCCTCTTCTTTAATTTTGAACTTTAATATTGAGTACTGATGTTCAATATTCAAGGTTATATTCCATTTCTCATATTTTCTTGTGTAATGATAAACAGACACGCCGAAAGACGGGGAATAAAAAATAGGTTGATGTGTCAGCAAGTTGTTGACCTTTTTAAAAAAAATTTCAAACTCACCAATTAGACAATGACACTTATACAGCCTGTTTTTAACCCTGTATTTCACCATGTTTTTTAGCAAAACTCTATTTTCTTTGATTTTATCCTAAAATATGAATTGCAAATAGTGAATGACAACTATCAAATCAAAGTTCTTGGAATGGAGCAAGCAAACACAAGAAATCAAATCTCTCCCATCTCTAAATTGTAGACCTCAGCCGACCTCTAAGGCTATTTATAGAGCTAGGTCTCGTTTTTCAGTTTCAGTCAACCTCTATCCTTATTAAAATAGTTTTCTCATACAGTATCTAAACTTTTATTATTAATGCAATTAAGTCTAAAACTTT